GAACGGTCAAATTTATGTCGTCTAGTATGTGTCATGGGTCATTAGACTAGAACCTTGCTACAGCACACGCTACAGGTCGAGAGAGAACAAAAGAGAGAGAGAAACTATTATGTCATCCTCTTTTTATAGAAAGAGTTCTTCCTGGAATATAATTATGGTGTCATTTCACGCGTGAATCACACTTAACATCGAACGCCTTACTTCAACACGGTACGCCTGTGTCATTCTAAAAAGGATACTCAAAATGGTATCACATCATGAATTCGATAACTGAAGATATTGTAAGAATCGAGCATAAATAAAGTATATTTTAAAAATTAACAATAATTCCAAGACGTAATTTTAAACCTATTTTAGACTGTTATATAAGATTTTAATCTTAAAAAAATAGTTTTTTTCCTTCTATAATCGTGATTGATTTACCTGTTTGTCTTCCTGTATATTTTTGAATATTTTACCTTGACCTAATATTNAAGAAATAAAGAAAAAGAGATTGCTAAAGAGGATCTTTTTATCCAAGAACCGTGAGAAATAAATCTGGAAGCCACAATGAAAGATGGGTTTGATAGTAACAGGAAGCTTTTATCGCATCCAAGTAACTCATTGAAAAACTCGTAAATAAATCCAAATAACTTTCCCCATTTCAACGCCAATTTTAAGTCTTCTAGTGTAGAGAAAACTGAAAACAACCGAGAAGTTTATCTCTTGAACTCGTTAGCGCGAGTATAAAATATACTAATGTCTGCTATGTGCTTTGAATGTTTACTTACTATCTTTAGTTACAAATGGAATCAATAATTTATCGTATAATTTTGATATTTCTTTCTGGTCGGTTCTTTTAAACATTATACAAATCTAAAACTAAAAGAGTGATGATCATAAATTTAAGTATTAATTATATTACAGTTTGGATCAATGTTATTCCCTCAAATACAGTGTTTCTACACACAAATTTCGAAGCTAAATATAAATTATATCTTCTAAAATAACACGAATAAATTAAATTATAATTGCAAGAAATTATATTTAAATGTAAATTATTAAATTTATAAGGTATCTATCACGTTTTCTCCAATGCACTTTATATGGTAATTTGACGTAATTCAATGGATTCGTTGATGTAAAAAATTACATAATATTATTATTATTATTATTATAATTTTATATAATTAATTTGAAACAAACTACATTTAAATTCCGTCACTCAACTGTATTCAGAAATTCGACGTAATTGGGCTCTCAGAAAACGAAAATAAATCTGGCAGAAGAGTTAAAAATCCATTAATTTTGGTTGAATTCCCTTTATAAATCTATTCGCCTTCAACAATTTCCCCTCCCCTTTTTTTAAGAAAAGATTTGAAGTTGGAATTCCATAAATTAAGAAAGTCGATTAATTAAGAAATCATTCTAACATTAAATTCTATTTGGATTATGTCAGTACGTTTGTCTGCCTACATTAAAAAAAGAAAATCTAGTTTTAAAATTGAGGTCAAGTTTTATCTTTTTGCATAATGAGATTTAGTTTTTGAAATTTCAATTTTGTACATCTTTTTAAATCCGAATAGAAATTTCTGTATAATATTTTTATTTTTATTTAACATAACTACTTAAGAACGACTAAATTGCGGTGCACTTGCTTTTAATAATATATTCAATGTATTTAAAAGTCAATTATTTAAATAATATTAATAATTTATTAAAAGTAATTTTATTAATATTTAATTTTTTTAAAGTTTGCACCAGTTTTTTGATACATGAGATTATCCAGCTTTAAAATTACATTTATAAATAAAACAAACAATAATTAAAAGTTACTGTATACTGAATTTTTAAGGTTTAAAAATAAGTTTCTCTTTTAAGCATGATGCTTATGTAAGAGACTATAATAAATAGATAGATAGGATTTAAAAAAAAACTTTTTATCTTCGATTTTCCATGTTGTTTATAATGCTAGTGATAATTACATGTTTATTCTATCTTGGTTACAGCATCATTATCATTATTTATGATCATTCACTTACTATAATATCATTGTTCGCTATAAAATTTGTATTGCTAATAAAACTTTGATAATTCTGTCATTTTATCAACAAGAATTATCTTATGTTTTCCATAAAGAACAATGTTTAAAATATCCACAAATTCTTTAATTACATTAAAACATTTACTTCATAATAAGCTTAACAATATATATATTTAGAAATAAATTACTTTAATATTTATTATTAATTTTCTGAAGTCTAATTTAGAGACTAAACAATCCATTAATTTAACGTATGTTTAGTCTTCACATTAATCCTGTCTGTAGAAGTCAGAAATGGAATATAATATCTCCAATAAAGTATATTCGATAATTAAATTTTATAGATAGTACTACTTTACTAAGTAAATATTATTTACAGTTTTAATCTGTGAAGTAGGCATATTTGGAATCATTACGAAACAGTTATCTCGAGAGACTGGTATGAACCTATCTTTTATCTCAGAGGTCGGTGTCCGTGGCTTCCGAAACATAGATAGTAACTCAGAGGATATCGTAACTATTTCCTGTACGATGACGTCACATCCTGTCTGGCCATGATCTCTATTTACAGAGAAAGTTAAAGAGACAAACAGGATCGTTAACTAATCGTTGTATTACAGTCACTGGGTTAAACGTATTTATAAGGGCTTTGTAACGTAATGTTTGCTAATAATTGTTCTTTTGTCATTGACTCGCTGTTATTTATTTATTTTTTTTTTATTTTAAATATACATTTTTCAGTACAAATTTCAAACTACATATTCGAAATATTAACGAATTTAGTCTTAAAATTATATGCTTTCCCCTCCGCTCGTCTTTACTAGTTTTTCTGTAATGGAGTAGAAAATAGTTTGTTTATAAATTACAAAGAATTCTCGATGTTGTAAACTCTCAAATACCGAGTAAAATCATTTACTATATCAAGAGTTTTGTACTATAAAAAATAACAAGGATCAACAAAATTGTTCGCTATATCAAGAGTCTACTGAGTATATTATAATTATTATCATCTAATATTATTTTTTAGTAATAAATATATTTCCTATTATTATTATTATATTTAATAAAATATATTTATATCCTGAAAACTGTAAGGTGTATAAATGGAAAAATAAGGCAATCTTCAAAATCATGTAGGAGTTATGATAAATACAATTTATCCTTTTTAAAATTGACCTTGTCTATTAACCATATTTGGTTTATTTTTGATAAAATATTATATAAGTCAATGTGTTTGTAAGTTATAATCATAATTAATTTTTATTCTCTCTCCGTATGTATGATTTTTTATTAAATATTAACATAAAGATTTTCTGTATTGTTCATAAATAATTCTAGTAATCCATTATATATTAACATACATATCTGTTTTGTTATACAGCCCATTATTCAATATAATAAATTGCGTTTTTTTATTTATTATAATAAAATTACGTTGATATAGTTATAACTTCACACTCTCATCCATCTTTTCTTTATACAGTAACTCGATGACCTCATGCTATCTACCCGGAAGGGGGTCTAGGTAATGAAAAGACCTTAAAAATTCGCATTATTAATATCGAAATTTATAATTATTTCGATATTAATTAAAAATTTATGATACTAAATAAATTTTAAACGGTTAATTTAATAGAAAATTATAATGAAAAAGAAAATATTAATATAGGATAATCATAATTAAGGCATTAATTAGTAATTAACACGTGGCGCCATCTGTTAGATTATGTGTCGATTTTTCTTATTGAAATAAATATTAATTGCACATGCATTAAACTTGTTTAATGATAAGTGCTTTCAGAAGGTCTTTACATCCTTCAATGCGATTTATCGTAAATAAAATACTTCGCCACGTGTATAGGAAAAATGGTGAAATTTCCTTGTTTTTATCATGGAAAATGATCTATCATACACCGCCCTTGCATTTGCTTTTAATTCTAATTTTTAATTATAAACTCCCTTTATTAAAACAAATTTTTAAAATTTCATGTTATACATCAAAATGATATATAATACATTAAAAATTTCTCATATTTTAAAATAATATGAAAAAAAAATATATATATATATATATATATCTTACGTTACTGAAATATAGAACAAATTGAAAATATAAATAAAAATATTTATAAAAGTTTTTAGATAAAAAAAGTAAATAAAATTATACCAATTTTATGAAAGAATTAAATTAAATATAAAGGCNAAATTACATGGTACAGTATTTAATAAAACATTAAAAAGAAATTTTATATTCAATTTTATGTATTTATTTTATTTACATATGTCATTTAAAGTTTAAAAATACTGAGTTTCCGTATAAATAATTTTACACTGTAGGAATTTGTGTTCAAGGATGAGTACAATAACACTTGTTAGGTTATTCACATCAGCATTGATTAGATATTTTTAGAAACATTTTTAAAATTCCGAGGAATTGATACATTAGTTAAAATACCATTTACCATTTATAAAATAAACTATTTATAATAATGATAATTGTAAACTTCATTAAAATCTGAAAGGATGCAAATGATTTTTTGTAACATTTTTTAAAGTTTATTTGAGTTTTCTCATTTAAGATTTCAATTGAAAAAAGTAAAGTAAACAGATTAAATTATATTTTTATACACCTGGCCAAATCTAAAATAACTTTTAAACGAATTTTGGCCTATATACAATTGAAGAATGCCATGAAAAAATTGTTGTATTGCTGGAAAGCCAACTTCAAAATGATAAAAATTATAAATAAAGAACGTAAATAAAAGTAACACAAAATTGTTATAAAATTTTATTTAAAAAATTATGTTTTTCTCTATGTTTTTTTTCGCATTAATAACTTTATCATCTCTTCGGATGCCGCGCCGATCAATTAAAATGCATCAAAATTATCGATTATATCCGCTTTTTTTTTATTTTCGATTAAACATTTATTAATAGTTTAATTAATCGAATTAACAATTAGATTAATATATCATCGATATCGGAACCTTGAACGGAGCTTTGTAAACAACTGTTAAAGGTCAATAGTGACGTCGCGAATAGAAACAGCGCCTCACGCGACTAATTTGGTAAATTTGTACAATGAACGAAATCGGACCATGGCGAGTAACGTGATAAGAAGGTTTGCGTTTTTAGCTTTTATTTTGCATATTTTTAATCATTTAAGCAGTTTAATGGTGCTATTTTCTATAAAATATAACCTTATCTCTGCTTTATGTTTCATTTAATAATAATAATGCCGTTAATTGAATGTCCGGATTCAATTATATAGGCACAAAGTAGAAGTTACTTTTAGTGAAATATGTATATACGTATGAATAGAACGTAATACCTAAAAGTAACTTCTACTGACACATTATAATAATAATGTTTTGCTTTTTTTTTTTAACCAATTTATTCTATAAATTTAAACTTTGGAGCACAATGGTGTTATATATAAAAATAAGATAAGGTTATATATTTAAGTATGAATTGCAGAAAGTATTCTGTATGCCATATGTTATCGTGGTTTCAGATGTGGTTTATATTTCTTCAAGAAGGGTGATGTGTCTTGCCGCTTTTATCGTTCTGCCCCGTTGCTGACCGCCCAGGAAGTGGCCACGGCCCTTCGTCCCTTTTACTTTGCCGTGCACCCGGATCTGTTTTGGCAATATCCGAAGGAAAAGGCATGTAAGAGGATTTTACTTATACTAAATTTGATGTTGGTTTCAATTTCTTTCAGCAAATTCTTAATATATTACACACAGTATGAGATATTTTATCTGCTGTGTACCTTGATATGCAATTAGAGTAAAAAGATATACAAAATTTTTTCACTGTGCTTATCTAAAGTTCATAAATATAACAATACTTTTCACTTGTGAATTCACAAGTTAAAATTCTTTGTAAATGTTATCACTCTTTACTGATTAGTTAATGCATTTTGAGTTAATAGATGTATATATTGTTGAGTATGTATCATTAGATGCTGGCATAACAAACAACTTTTCTCAGGAGAGCTTGTAAAAGAATTTAAAGTTAACGACTAGTAAATACGACTAGTAAATACTTGTTAACTTTAAATAAACAAGCTCGTAACATGCTGGGAGATTCCTTCCCCCAGCATGGTAAAATGTTTTTTAATCCTGTCTAATTTTACCTCATATTCTGGCATCTATGGAGATTATCAGTGACCACTCCACCAATCAACGAGCCTGCATAATATAAGTAGAGGTGTTCCAACGTATGCAATTCTAATTTCAATGGTGATGTTCATTTAATAATGAAGAAAACATTTGCTAATGTGAGTGTTTACCTTTTTACTGGTTTTTTTGGGTTTATGAGCTTGTTGAATTTAAAGTTTATTAATTACTTTTCAATACCAGACTTTTTGCATAACTAATAATCACAAATAATATAAAATTATGATTAGTTACAGTTATACGTTCTTAATTAACATTAATTGCAACTAAGGAAAAGAAACTAATAAAAAGAATATAATTATAATCACTTCTTGAACTTATGCACATGCCCCCTTTTCAACTTTATATATGATGGAGCACTAAATGTCATTGAAAATTTTTAGAACAGTCTAAAAATATGTTCAATTTCCTGCATAAATGCAAAAAAGACATTTAAAATAGTACCATAGAAGCCGAGTTCTTTGGGGTAATCCTTAACCCTCTCTCTCTCTCCCCCACAGTGGAAATTTGGTAAAATCCATTCTTAATGTGCATTCTCATGGCATACCCTATTAAAATGCAAAAAACTGCATCTAAAACAATCCTATATTGTACATACTGGATAAATAAATACGATAAAAAACACATCTTTAACAATCCAGCAAATAATTTTATTTGCTGGATTGTTAAAGATGACTGACAGGTGATGAAAAATTGGGTTCCAGGTTTTCATCACCTGTCAGTATGTTGGTGACTGTTTCTGTCATTCTGCTGTTCAATTTCTTCAGTATAAACTTGCAAAAATTCTCATGTTTCTCATCTGGTTCAGCTACAAGTGATGAGGTACTCAATGTGCACACAGCTTCCTCATATGCAGGTGTTCGTGCAAGATTCATGCAAAATATTGAGGTTGCATTCACGCACTCTGGTACTTGTCCATCCATCTTCATCAGGCAGGACCTTGGCAGCATCAATCTCCCCTGGAATTACCACAACCCTTGGATGCCCTTTATGTTCATTATCATAAAGGTTGAAGCACCAAGATCAAAAGTGATGATATCTCTTAAACACAATAGTATCTGGGATAGGGTTTGCTCACAATGTGCTCATTGCAGAGGTTTTGAGACACTGTATTGCTGAATCTTCCAGGTGAAACTGCACAAAAATTGCAACTCTGTTGTTACATTCAGTCACAGAAGACAAGATAGGCTGGATTGACACACTTGTAGAACAAGTGTGTTTCTCCATGATATTGAAACAGGTTGCTATCTTGCATATAAGTTTCAGAGACCTCTATGAAAAAACACAGGTGAAGCACTGTTGCAAAGCAACAATTTTAAAAGCTATTTTCCACAAATTGTTTGACTAACCCTTGTACTATAACATACTGATCATTTTAAAAATTTGTAAACTAAAAAAAAATGTATGAAATGGTTTATTAAATATATTTCAAAGTTTATTGAAATTAGAGTTTACTACCTTATATAAGTACACTTTATACTATTATATTTTAAGCTACAATAAATTATATAACTTCATTGTATAATGTTGTATGTCAATACATTTGTAAGACAATTTTTTAGAATGAAATTTTAGTTGTGTTTGCTTTGAAAAAGAAAAATGGAAATTTTATAAATGAAAAATAGCAGTAAGTTTTTATTCAGATAAAAAGTAATTATTTATACATTTTTTATTTCTAGGAAATTAATGAGAATTCTTTGAAACAACTGAATGAGTTTTTGGAAACATTAATAAAAAATCATCCTAATTATCCAACATGTGTTACCTTCTATTTAAGAGACACAAAATCAAAAGCAAATGTAATTAACACAGGTAAGAATTGAACAGTTTTTGAATAAGTTTGGAATTTTGAAATTATTGAAAGATGTAGCAGTTTTCAATTTTCAACTTATGTTCTATTAAATACAATGGATTATTAAACCTAAATAGATTATTTAATATTAATATATTTTTGTATAAAACTATTCTTTGAGAATAATGTGATTTATATATCTGTCTCACAAATAATATAAAAGTTTTTAAAAATAACAATTGAACACAACAGTTTAAACATAAATTAAAAACAACATTTGAATATAAAACTTTCTCAGAAATGTAATTTGGTTAATTATTTTATTTCAGAAAAATTTTCGTTAAATGTCATCAATTATTAACTGGATATAGGATTTATACATTAAAGCTCTAAACCATTTTAAACTATTTTATTTATAAGTCTTTTTTCAACCTTCTTAATCAATGGGTATTTGTTGACCAATTTCTAAATATCATTAGAATAGATATGTTAAAAACTAATGCACAAAAATTAAAGAAAGATCTTAAGAATAATTCTTGAAAAAAGGTTCATAGCTGCACTTGAAACTATTTTTCTATTTGGTTTTAGAAACAGAAGGCTGTTAGAAGTAAGATTTATTTCTTCCAAAATTGTTTTCTAATACAACTAAATTTCAAATAAATATGAGTTAATTCATTAGTCAATTGATAAGTTCAAAGTTGTTCATTCATTCATTTCCAAATGCTGTGTAACAATTTTGTGCCCATTTGTAATTAAGAAATTAATAATGAAAGAAGTGTGCATAAAATATTGTGCTTATATATGTATACACTAGCTGTTACCCCCAACTTTGCACGTGAGGATTTTGCAAGCAAACCCCATTTATATTCAATATTTAGTATTTCAAGTATTTCAGATAAAAAGTAATTTCTATACATTTTTTATTTCTAGGAAATTAATGAGAATTCTTTGAAACAATTTATTATATTCAGTACACCATAGTAATTGTTATATAACACCTACCACTGAGAATGATGAGAACTGCTGAGAATCAAACAAACTGTTTTCAATTTGATCAATTTTCTGGAACATTTACAATCGTTCTATAATCCAACCAATATGCAATAACAAATTTGAATTTAAAATGGTTTGAACATTTGGTTAAAAAATCAAAATGTATAAAAATATTTATACCAATGTCTGAAATGTTATCAATTTAATACACCTAAGTACTCAATGAAAACTAAACATAGTTGAAAACAAAAAATCACATCTAAAATAGTACAGTAGAAGCCATTCTTCAGGTTAAACCTTAATCCTCTCCCCCCATGGGGGGATTTTTGAAAAATTCCTTCTTTAAACACTAAGAAGGAATTTTTCAAAATCATGATGTACCCTGTGTACAAAATTTCACCTCTAGGTTCAGCAGTTTGCTCTGGACGATGATGAATCACTCAGTCAATCAGTCAGGACAAGTAATTTTATATATTTAGATAAACATGTGTTTTTATATATGTATTTTAGATTATAACTGATTATTATATATAAATAAATAAATAAATCTTTCCTCTGCAGGTTTTAAGAGGACCTTTTTTCATGTCCATAAATAAATTGACAGAAAACAGCAAAATAGTTCCAAAATTTTTTATTAGTTTTATAGAACTAATAAAAAAATTATAAATTTTGCTTTATAACTTATAGGGCAATACAAAAAATTTTTAAAAATTATAATGAATTGCTTAAAAAAAACAACAAAATATATCTTTTTTTTTTTTCAATCTCTCTTCAAAAAGCTGGAAATCCACAGGGTGCGGAAGAGCATGCAGTGTATCAACTATAGGGATGCCGACGGGCTTTCGTCTGCTTGGAAATCTTTTTGCGACGAATTGGCATAGATCAACAAAATACATTACTATTAATTTTCTATTGGGAATCAAATGTCTGCAGACTTGATCATTGATTGAATATACATTAGATGATAGTGATGATTGTATGTAGCAATTAATCAATGAACATACAATTAATTTTCATTATAGAGTTCAAGCTTTATAAATTAACCACATACATATTTATATTGTTCATAATTAGTTCATAAATTACTATTAGCAAGTCAAAATAGGATAATATAATTTCCAATCTTTACTATATGTTAATTAAAAGTTATAACGTGATTGAGCAAATATTTGGCCAAGCTGAATAGTGTGGGTGATTTACTCATGACTCATACCAGCAAATATGAGCCACCTTTAGAAGAATACAGAAAATATATTTTTCACAAATATATATTCTGTAAGTTATATAAATCATTTTATTTTTTTTTATACTTAAGCTTTTATGAAAATATTTTGAATTTTTATTATTATAATTGTAATTTTTTCTTTCAATTTTATATTTATTTTTGTCTTTTAGATAATTTTAAATCTGTTAAAATAAAACTCCTGGGAAGAGATATTCACAAAACAGTTCATGCAATTTTATCAGCTTGTCAATTATCAACTGAATACCTGGATCAATTGCATGCAAACAAAAATAATATAAAGTCATCTAGTTCTGAAAGTCGAATTGAATTCAAAGTTGATTTTAATGCTGTTAAAGAATGGAAAATTCACGACATAACATTTAGTGAAGTCAAACAGAAAATTGAGAAGGAACCAGAGGTTGATCTTAAGTAAGTATTAATATAGATTAAAGTTAAGTTTTGCATGAATATTTAATTTTAATGAACACTTTTTTAAGGATTTGGTTATCACAAAATATTTCTAAAGCACAAGAAAAATTAAAAGCATCACAACCAATTAGGGATGAAGTAAGCAAATTACGTAAAGAACTTAAAAGTTCATTAGAACTAAAAAATCTTTTTTGGAAATGTGGTTGGGGCATATCACATTTTCGGGGATGTCTTTTAAGTTTTAGGAGTCTGGCTATTCAGCATCCTGATGATATGAAAGTGCTGAAAGGTGAGGTGAAATAATTACAAAATTTAATAGTTATTTAATAATACTTTTTAGTGCTTTTTGGCTAATAATTTCAAAAATTTCAATAGTTAGAAAAATTTTTCTGTTTAGGTTGTTTCTTGAAAGTTATACATTTTAACTCTTTCTTTAGTTGAGTAGATAGCAATTGATCTTAAGTACAGACCATTGTTTTTAATATTAGAAGTACAACAACAATTAATTGATTCAGTATTTTTTGCATGATTTCTTCTTCTTAAAAAATTTAGTTTGCTACATGATTAACAGAGATCTAATAAACTAAAAACTAACTAAAGGCACTAAAAATCTTTATTTTGCATAATTACTATTAAGTTCTTTCTATATCAAATATAAATATTTGCACATTTAATTTAGGTAGGACACTTGTGTTTGCATTAGAAACGGGTGTGAGTCTTGATAGTCATGTTATATTGAGCAGTGAAGATGTGAGACATAATTGGTTAGATGTAAGTTTGATAACACTAAAGCTTTTCATCTATTTGTTGTTTTAATTACAAAAGTTAATAATTTTTTTTTTTAATTTTAACAGTTAATTAAATCAGTACATCAGTATGATAACCTGTTAGCTCAAGCTCCATCTGTACAAAAAGCATTATCTGATGTCTTGAGGGGAATTACGATTAATCATCGAGAATTTCGACAGTCAGTGATGGTGAAAAAATACATGCAACAATTACAGAAATTAACTTCAGCTTTGTATAGATACTATTGGAAAAATGGATATCCAGATTCTTGGCCTGATCGTTTAAACAAATTTCAATTAGCTGTAGAATGGTAAGTTGTATTAAGTCAATTGTTTTTAATTAATTTTTTAATACACTGGTGAGAAAAAAATTCATCCATTTTTTATTTCTTTTTGGAATATCTTTGAATTCCAAGATTTGGAAGAATTTGATTAGGTGTAAGTTTAGATTATATTATACAAAAGATGAAATAATTTTCAATTAGCTGTTGATACATACAAACAGAGATATAGCAATGTTTTTGATGCCCTTGGCAATGCATTAGTTTTTTTAATCCACAGCGCACAAATTCTTGTGGTGCTTCTTGCATCTCATGTCCTTGGCATTTGCCCTGTTGCAAATACATTGCATTAATTAATGTACTTTGACTCCTTAAGAATGCTTTAAATGATTAAAATCAACAATAGAAATCTTTAATTTATTCTTCATGAACAATTTCAAAACTTATTCGTTTTAAACTTTAAGAAACTTAAAAACAAAGTTCTAATTATATCCAGTAAAGCAGCAATTCCCAACTCGGGGTACACGATAGGTTGTTTAGAGGTACAGAAAAAAGTTAGTTAATATATTATTTTTTCTGCCATAATATGTATCTCAAATTAATAGTATTAAAAAATTATTAGGAAAAAATGTTCCTTGCAACAATCACAAACTTTATTATACATTTCAAAATGCAAAAATAGAAATAAAAACTTATGCTGCCGATTGTACAATGCAACAGATCAATAAATGTTGCGCAGTTGGTCAATGGTAGTGGGGATACCATTGTGTGTGATTAGTGATTACGGACTTTTGATGGTGGGGTGTGTTATCATTATTATCATCATCTTTCAACAATATCCCCACATATTGTTTATAAAAAGTATTTTTTATTGTTAACAAGGAAAAATATATAGATAATTTCTCCACATTTTCTCTACAAGTGGTAATTTTTTTCATTATTTATTCAGTATTTTTGCTAATTTTTTATTGACAAGACTATATCTTGTTTATAAAATCGTACTGCCTGCTGTGTTACCAGCTTAGAGCTATGAAGGAGTACATGTCAAAAGTTGCAATTTGGCACAAAGTATTAGGTGCCCATATCATGTGCGCATAAAAAAAATGGACTTGTTGGTACTCAGGGTACCGTGAACTGAATCAAAATAAAATTCAAAATGGAGACACTCTCTACAAACAGGCAGTGTGAGATTTGCACATGCGTTGCTCGTTGCGAAGTTAAAAATGCCATGGGGGTATGCTAATGAAAAAAGGTTGGGAACCGCTGCAGTAAAGAATCTTTTTATTATATTAAGTAAACTTATTAAACTAATAATGTGAAAACAATATATGTCAAACATAGTTAGGATGATATAATCTAAAGCCAATTTTAATACAGTAGAGCGTCAATTATCCGAATCAATTGGGGACTGGGGTTGTTTGAAAAATCAATATTTCGGATAACCGATTATGTATGAAAAAATATATTAACCTATCCCATGTTGAAATTTTTCTCCGTTGCGTGTCGCTTCGTGTTGAATTTTCATCAATGTTAAGCCTAACGAAGACTATTGTTTATTTTGTACAAACAAAATAAATATATTAAAAAATATAAAAACAATAAAAAATTATACTTCAGAAGTTAATTTAGTATCAAAAACGTAAAATATTTGAGTAGCCCAAGATATAGGCAAAGATTGCAGCGCCATGACACTGGCGAAAATTTAAATTTGCCAAGTGGAATTCTTTTGGATAATCGACACTTTTATACTGTATTTGGTTTTGTCCACAGCAAAAATGTTGAAAAAGTGAATATCTTATATGAGGATCTAAATTATTAATTATTATTTCTTTGTGATTCTGTTGATATAAACTTTCCATGTAACAGTGCCAATCCAATGAAAGTTTTTAACAGTCAGTGAAAATTACAATCCAAAGATTTTGTTTGTTCAACTAAAATGTGCATTTTCATCAAATACTTTTATTGTTAATAGAATAATTCTAGTTGTCAGTGTGATTTTAGTAGGTATTGGCAATAATGTATATAAATAATAAATATAAACTTTTAAAGTACAGGTAACCCCCATAAAGCATGGGAGTTACGTTCCAAAAAATTGCCATGTTATGCGAATCCGCATTATACAAAACAAAGAACTAATACGAAAAGGGGGGTTAGGTTCCAAAAATTAAAAAACATGCTATTATATTTTCATAATTAAGATAAATATTTTTATTAAAATTTTTTTAAGAAGTGATGCATATTAATATAAATTAAACAATATTTTCTTTGTCATCACTAAGCACTGTTAACTGAGGGAGTTTTCTTTTTGGCAAGATATCCTTATCCTCTAAGCATTTTTCTGCATTATCTTCAGATCCATGCTCTACCTTTTGCAAAAAACATTGCTTGCTTTTAGTTAAAAGATCTTTATATGGCGCTAAGCACTTATGAAGTTCTCTTTTAAACTTTGTGCTCTTTTCATTTGAAGGATCTTCATTTAAGAAATATGATTCTAACTGTTCAGCTAAGCTTAGGCCTTTCTTTATGCTTTGTAGAGTAAACTTTTTAACTTCTTTGTCTTCAGCTGTGTTATCATGGATTCCAGATATCATTTCTACCAAACCTGCTTCATCAATTCCTTCTTCCACCAGTAATTCTTGGATATCTTGTGCAGTCATTGTCAAAACCTTCCCCTCCTAGAGACTTAGCAATTTCTACCACCACATCCATTCTGTTTTCTGCTGTCTCGATTAAATTTTTACTTTCAATTGACTCCGGCCATATTTTTCTCCAACAATCATTTAATGTCATCGGTTTTATTTCTCTGGTGGATAAGTTTATTAGGTTAATACAGTCCAAAATTGTGAAGAGTTTCCACGCCTCCTTAATGTCCATAGATTCATCATCGATTTTGTTCAAAACCCATTGTAATGATCTCCTTATATAATTGGTTTTAAATGTAGCTATAATTCCCTGATCTAATGATTGAAGTAAAGCAGTTGTATTTGGAGGCAAAAAAATTATTTTGATATTTCGGTGATTTAAATCTTGTGGATGGCTGGGTGCATTATCCAATATAAGTAGAACTTTAAAATCTAAATTTTTCTGTTTTAAGTGGTTTTCCACACTTGGTACAAAACAGTTTAAAAACCATTTCTTAAATAATTCAGTAGTCACCCAAGCTTTTTTATTTGATGCCCAGTATACTGGTAAATTACTCTTATTGAGGATTGAGAGATTTATAAACCAACATAGGTTTTACCATGTAATCACCTGAATCATTACTGCACATAAGTAATGTTACACAGTCTTTTGATACATTTCTAAAGACGAAAAAGTAGCGCCAGGTTTCAAGGTATGTCCTCTTAGACATTTTTTTCCACCAATGAGCAGTCTCGTCAGCATTAAAAACCTAATGTGTTGAATATCCACCCTCTTCAATAATTCTTTTTAATTCCATTGGATAAATTTTGGTGGCTTCTTTATTGGCTCATGCACTTTCACCCTCTATTTTTAGGTTTTGTAGTGATAAGTGTTTTCTCATACGATCAAATCACCCTTTGTTGGCTACAAAATCTGGATTAGTAGCAGTTTCTCCATTTTCCTTTAAGTAGTTTAAATTTTCAAGGCTTTGTGTTTAATAATATTGGTGCTCAGTGTAATCTGCTTTTTTGAACAGTGTTCAATCCAGATGCTAAGGGTTTTTTCCACCTGCTCAATTATTGCTGCCCTAGGACAAGATGTCATGTTTGAGGAGATAGAGATTCTGTTGTTGCAGGCTGTTCTAATTTTTTGTTCATTTTTCCTTACAGTCCGTATTGTCACTTCATTTAAATCCAACGATTTGGCGACATATCTTTTCACCTTTTTGAACCAATCTAAAATTTGTAATTTTGTTTGTATGGAGATGAAATGTCTTTTTAAGAGACATTTTTTTATTTTTGCCAGACATAGCTTAGGGCTACAGATTCATAAAAATAAAAATATAATTATTATTTCTTTAAAAAAGATTGAGTACAGTACTGTACTTACCTGAAAATTTTTAATGTACATAGCCAAAAAAAGAGAAAATTAAAGTTTTAAAGTATACTTGTAAATGTGTGGATTGTCCCAAGGCTCAGAGACAGGGTTCAATGCCTAAAAACCAATGACACAATAAAGTAACTACATACTTATGTATGTAAATTTTCTTTTCCTGCCTTCTGTCAATATATGTGGTATTTCTCTAAACTTGTCTCAGTGTTGCTAGATCGACACTTCTGCTTTTCATGTTGCCAGATGTTTTTCTCTTATTCCAAACTAATATTTCACGAAAATTATGCAGGAAAATCTGATAGTACATACGGGCTTGAATGAAAAATGTCAAATGAAGTATCTTTCGCACTTAAAAGCTTTATCATATTTATTGAACTGTCATACAGGGATTTCCATAATATCAAATTAGATAAAGTTCGCTTTTAAATTTAAAAGTTCGCTTTTTTTTATTACATTTCATGTACGAGGGTTTTACCCAATTCTCAAACCATGTCAGTGAATCCGTGCTATAGAAGTGCCGTGTTATACGGGGTTTACCTGTATACAGAATGCATACTAGGAGATTAATACAAAATAAATCTGAAGATTGGTTTTTTTTATTGTCAATAAGAATTGTACTTACAAGGAGCAGGCCAGATGTTTGCCTCTCCAATTTGAACGAAACTTGGTGAGAATGTAGGCCTAAATAGAGAGATCATTGTCCAAATAATAGGACCCACTTGTCATGTAATTTTGAAAAAACGGGCCTCTGAAAATTGAGTATTTAGTTTATAAGTCTTTGGAAAGTTCACTTCTTGTAATTGCATAAGATGCTAGGCATAGGAAGTGTGCGATGTAGGTACAGTACATCCCTTCCCATTTCCGTGCCGGAAAATAATTTCATTTTTTTCTGTAGAAAAGAACACAATATTTTTATAATAAACAAATATTTTATTGAATTATATATCAACCATTTTGGTCAAATACCTGTTGTCATTGTTTCTGGTAGTAGCATGATTTCACATTCATAAAAGTTTTGATCGTTGCTTACAAAAAACTGATGCAAGTGATTTTTGACATTATCATTTCAAGTAAATGTCTTAGTTAAAAAAAAAATTGTATAGACCGGAACAAGTAATAATCTGAGTGTGTTCAATCTGGCAAATATGGTTGGTGTGATATAACTTAGATGGGATGTGCTAACAGTTTGTGACCAGTTACCAAACTTGTGTGAAATTTGACATTATCGTGGTAAAACACTACACCTGTTTTGTTGATCAATTCTGGCTGCCTTTTCTGTTTGATGATATTACTTGATTTGTTTACTTGATGGCAGTACACTTTCAAATCAATTGTTAAATCGTCTGATAAAATCTCCAAAAAAAAATTTCCTTAAAATCCCACCAAAGAGAGCATCTCTCTTTAAGAACACGTGGAACCCATATATCAAGCTTTGAAACGAAACCAATTTGTTTCAAGTAATCATAAACAGTTCAATTTGACAAATTTAATCTCTTAGTGATTTTACGTGTTATTCAGCAGTTTGCTTTAACTGGCCATCCAGAACGTGGTGCATGTTCAATATTGAAATTGCCAGAACAAAGTTTTGTAAACCAGTTTTGGCACTGTCTTTCTCTCAACACATCATCTCCATACATGTACCACAATTTTTTTCTTGCTTGAACAGCATTTTGCTTTTTGGTAATAAAAAGCAAAATAATGATACCAAAAATGATGCTTTTGATCTTACATATTTGATGGGACACAAAAAATAAACAATTGCACAAAATCAAACAAAATTTTTTACAAATAAGCCTTAAAATGCTAGCTGTCAAAATATATAATGATAATATGGTTTAGAATGAAAATGGTGAGAAAAATACGACTAATCCGTCTAGTGGTAAAAAAACGAAATTACTTTCCGAGCAACCCAATACTTATAGAATACATTATGCTTGTTTACTTGATGGTTAATGCTTAGGTAACAGAGCCAGACTTTTTGCATTTATCTCCTATGAAAAATATAATAGTATATTTTGGATGTATTTTTGAAGCACTAATCATAAAAGTTTATAAAAATTGCAAACATTAGTGAAAAACCAACTTACTCTGATGTTACCAACTTTATTACCACCTCACGAGTGGCAATGGAACATCAGAATTTGCATAAAAATGAAAAATAAAAATACACAATAGAAATAAATCCACCTTAATTATTTGTTGCTGGCTAAAGACTGACTTCAACACCACCCACAACCAGCAAAGAGAACAGAATTTGTGTGAAATTTAAGTTTTAGACATAGTCAAATTGTTCATAAGTAGGGGAGCTCTTGTAGTTTGTCACCATTATTTTCTGTATAGTAATGCTTCCATATCTAAATTTATACAGTAAAACTTTTCTAACTCAAAGCTCCAAGGAGCAGGAAAAAACTTTGAGTTAGATGATTTGAATTAGAGTGAAAATGCCAATTCTGAATAAATTTGTTTTTACATCTCTTGCATTATACAAAGAATCTTTGATAGACAATATATGGCTGTTTAAAAAATACTGTTAAATACAGTTGTTTAAAAAATATTTTTTAATCTACAAATAATTGATTTCTAAAAGGATTTTATAGTTTTAAATATAACTTATTTTAAATTATTAAGTGTAAATTTTCTCTCTGTAGTGAGGCAGGTCCATTGATGCTATCTCCAACAGGCCAGTTTATTGTTCCTGCATCTTGCCCTGCATTCTTATTGATAGATTTTATTTCTAAACACATGGAAGAAGCACAACTAAAAATGGAAGAATATAAAAGGTAAATTCAAATTTTGATTTTAAACTATATTTTAAAATACAGGGTTAGCAAGAAATAAGTTTCCCAGTTTAGACCTCTCTGGAGTGCATTCTACTGGTCAAAATGAAACAAAATTTGGACTACAGATAATTCAAATGATGCACTTGACATAAAATCCATCAATATGTGGCTCTGTAACACGAATTTATTCCAGAATGCAAAATGCACAATGAATAATAGCTGTGCTGTAAATGAGTTTCTCATTGCAAATTGTGCATTTTTACTAATTTGAAAACAGTACTTGATATTTTTTACTCTGTAGGAATGTCATTAATTTAAATCATCTCTCACGAAATAGCACAAACAAAAAAATCGAGTCCTTGCTGATGATATGTGAAATCACAATATATGCACACAATTGCATATCAATGCATAATTAAAATGCCTGAAATATGCATTATGCCTGTTAAAAACAACAGTAATATATATCCATACTTTATTAATATATCTGTAAGAAAATCTTGCTAAACATTACAGTGGTACCTCAGGATATGAACACCCCAGCATACGAAATTTTCAGGATACGACAAAATTCAAACATATTTTTGTTTCATGATACAAACAAAAACTCACCATACGACGTTACATTAGTTCACAGCACCACTTTTTATTCACTTCTGTTCATTGGTCTCAGTCCGCGTGTTTGCTTCGTCGTGGAAGGATCTCGCTCGATAAAGGAAATGTTGAGGTATCAGAAAGTGACCGATTTTATTGAAAAGAAACATCCCAAAAAGGTTCACACTAGCCGTATTGCTGCTTGGAGTAATGAAATTTGCCTAAGTAATTTTAGAAACATTTTAAAAAGTAGGCAAAGCCAAACCTCTTTGGATAGATATTTTACCAAGCAACCTCTATCCAGTGAAAGTGCTGGTGGCAGTGAAGGAAAGAAAGCAAAAAGCAGTGAATAAAAATTAAAAAAAAAATTAGTGTTGTTTTATATATATATATTTTTTAATCTTTTTTAAGTTATTGTTACATTATGTTATGTAAGTTAAATTTTAGTATCATTTCCCTTCTCCCTCTCTTCCACCACCAGTTTACACCTCCACTGTCGTCTATCCTCAAAGGTAAAGTGCAAATAAAACTACATTTTTTTTATCAATTATTATTCTATTATGGTTATTTATACATTTAAAACATTTTTCAGTGTTTTCCGTGTTGGAACAAAGTATTTGGTTTTACATGTAATCGTATGGGGAAAAATGATTCACCTTACGACATTTTCATGATACGATCTCAGTTTCGGAATGGATTAATTTCGTATCCTGAGGTACCACTGTACTTTTGTTTTATTTTACGTTATCCCCTACCGTAGGCCTGGCCTGCAATGAATCTTTCAATATCAGCTAGTCAAGTCCAAATAGTTCGACGAAAAATTCTGATACCTAAAAAAAAAAAAAAGTCAACTCAATGTGCATTAAGAGATTTGTAATGGAGGGTTAACTCTAAAGTACAGCATAGAATGTTGATAAAGCATGATAATGTGAAAAATGTATCTGTAATCTCTATGTACAATTTAGTCTCTACGGGGTGACACCACAATTAGATCTCACACCACCTCAAAATCTTCCTAGGGCAGCCTCTGGTTCAGCCCGGGGACAAAAACTGTTGGCCCTACCATCTAAACATTTAACAATAGGTGCCAGAAGTCATAATTTTCAAATATCATCACAATGTTTAGATAAATAGCATAAAATCAATTATGAATAAAATTACATGTTCAATAACTTGTAATGATTGACTTGTCTCTCATAGTTTCAGTGCAAAGTTATTCGAGTTTAGGATGTTTCACACTTAATTGATTTTTTAGCAGGAAACAATTTGTGGCATGCTTTTCAATAAAAAATTTTTGAGATATTGTATCCTGGACACACTTTCTTAGCAATTCAGTATTAGTTTTTGCAGTTTTACCTATATTCTTGGTTAAAGCAAATTCAGTATACCAGAAACTTTTCAGTCATGTTCCACATTTGTAAAGATTTGATCAAACTTCAACTTTTTGAAAGTCATGTTTATAACAATTTTAATTCTTTTATATTTATTCATAAGAAATTATCTCCAAGTAATTCAAAGAATTTTGAGAATTTTAGTTTGAAAAATTGAGAGATTTCCATATCTAAGATGTTGATATGTAAAAAAATTGACTTTTTATTATTATATTGATAGCATGTTTACACTTTTGTTTCATAATGAAATTGGAAAGAGAATATTAAAAATAATTGGCTGAACAGATCAGTGTTTGAGTCCTAAAGATAATAGAAAAATTAGACAGCCATTTTTTAAATTAATGCCAAATATAAATAAAGAAAATAATAACTTATAGATTAACTATAGTCATATCTTTAATAGGTTGAGAAGAGAAGAATGGAAACTCTACGATCGCTGCATGACCGAATTGGGCCTGGCTTCACTAGACAAGGATGATAACGTTACACCTGACCTAATGGTGCAATGTTGCAGGAGATTATTGGACAGTGGTATGTCTTCCATACACTATTTGAGAAACTGCAGACTCAGAATATCACACTATTATTCCATCTTGCAAGACGGAGAGATGTGCATCCCATGGAATTGGAAGGACGACCAAACACTTTAGTCGATCAGACCATATATTAGACTTCTGTAATATAATGTAGAAATGCATTTTATTATATATGCTTCACAATTATATTTGGCAATAAACATTGCCTTTTTATCAAACATTTTGAGATAAATTTCACATTTTTAATTCCAAGCTTGAATCTTTGTTATCCGTTTTATTCTGTAACGGATAAGAATTATTTTAAGTACAAATTGGATAGACTATTTATTTGTATAGAAATATTTATAGTCAATAAATATATTAATTTGTTATTTAGTTCTTTGAATTTTGTTAAATTATAATGTCATACCAAAGGTTCACTTATACAGGATAAATCATAATAGGTTCTACAAATACCTATGTAAATGAATGCATGAAGATCTCAAATTCAGATGTTATTTGATAAAAAGCAAAAGAACTTGTTTATTGTCATCATCATAATGCCAGGCTGCAACTTTTAAGTTAAAGTATGATTAATCAGGTCACCAGCTCATTCTCAAGATTAAATTTCCATCTGTCTTGTCCTTTGTTATAGGTCTGCAATTTTCAACTTACAGTAAAATATACATGTCAAGACCACACAGATAATTTATACTGCTTCACACAGTGATAAAACTAAAAACCATAGAAGAAAGTTCAGAAATAAACTCCAAATTGATTATTGAACTTCTCAACTTGTTTTAAAATAGACACATTAATGACTGATTTCTGCATTTGTTCCAAAAATTGAATTTCTGCAGAAACAGTACTAATTTTAGAGATTTATATTAGCCTTGGACATTAAAAGTCAGATTTTTCCCCATGATGCTGAACTTCGTAAGCTGTATCATTTTTCAAGGAAAAAAATATCTGAATACAAGTAAATTATTTGAATTTAACTCTCATGTACAGTGTCAGTACTTTCAAGTGACTTTAGTCTTTCTTGACATTTGGCCCCTTTTGAGTTTAATATTTTTCTACAACCACCATAATACTAGCGTGGCAAAAATTTTAAAACAAATATTAAAAATTCCACTATTTTTTAAAATACTACATAACGGATTTTTAATTAAAATAAATTATAGCATATTTATATAAGTATATGTACAGTACAGTACATATGTAGTTATTACTTTAAAAGTAAAATGAGTCAACTTATTGTGTTTTGAGGTTGTATAAAATAGATGAAATAATCTCTGCCTGCATTAGTGTTGCCAGGCATGACAACTGTAATCATAAATTTTCAATATATAATAATTGATTGAAATGCAAACCCTTAAATAATAAACAATTATTGTTAATGTTAAATCAGAAAACTCTCAACTTTCAAGTTCAAAATGTTTGTAAGGTGGTGTGCCCCAGAAAATTAGATCCACTCTGAAAATTCCAATTTAAATAAAATGCATATTTATGTACACAAACTTTATGCAAATACAGTAGAGTCCCAAAAACTCAGCTTAATGTGGACCGAAGGGTGGCCGAGTTTGTGAAAATGCAGGGTTATCAGGAATGGGGTTAAAGAATAAGTACGAGTGTTTCCTCAGAAAATACTGTACTTGTATGTATTGTTTGCTTGAGAATAAACTGCCCAAATACCCTTAAAGGAAAAGTACTGTACATACTTTATGAAGGCATAGAGCCTTTACTACATGAAAATGAAAATTAATGAATACACAGTGTACAGTAATTTACCTGATAAGACAGACCTCAGAAAAATGCTTTATGAGGCATAAAGCTATCTATAATGAAAATTAACTAGGGGTTTTTTTCGCCCTTCCAGGGTGTGGCCGAGTTATACGGATTGCTGGATTATCGAGTGACAAGTTTTCGGGACTCTACTGTACTTTCATTTAAACATAATAGCAAATATTCAATAAATTACATTTACTTAAATTTAAAATTAAAACAACATTTTTTGTCCCAAAAACATAGTTCTAGGCCAGGGGTCGGCAACCTTTTGAGTCGGAAGAGCAAAAATTACAATTTACAAAATTTCAAAGTTTTTAGAGCCACAAAATTTTTTCTTGCCAACAATAAATAGTACTCGCATAAATAAAGTTTTTTGATTAAAAAAAACTAATCTATTTATTCATATATAAGTAGTGTTTTTCACAACAAATTAGATAATAGAAACATCCGACGACGGCGTCATTCGAGAGCTTCTGACAGACTGACAACAGTGACGACGCGTGTCACGGGGGAGGGGTGCAAATGAAAAGCGAGTACAAGTGGCTGAGAGATAGAATCAGTGCCTAATCCTCGTTAATCGATTCAGAACGATTTTTAAATGTTTTGTTTTTTTTTTTATAAAATAAATAATATTTGCGTATAGAACTAAGAGCCGCAGCTTCACATCCAAAGAACCGCATGTGGCTCATAAGCTGCAGGTTGCCGACCCGTTCTAGGCACTAAAAAGAAATTCCTCAATTTTAAGTTTAATACTTTGATTTGATCAACTGCACACAAAATTACATTGAAATTTCATTTCATTCCATTTCTGCAGTATAGCTTATTTCAATTCCTCCAGAGACGAATACTACTTTTCCACAAACAAACCAATCGTGCCAAGATAGCCCATGCATTTTCCATCAAATTCAAATCTGGAGAACAAAGCGGACCAATCTAAAACTGAAACTTTGTTACTTAAGAACCACTCGAAAGTGGATTTTGCAATGTGCAAGGCTGCATTAGCTCATCGAAAATAAAAGTGGGATGCCTACAGGTTTTCAATAAAAGGAAGTAAATGTTCTAATGTCGATAACGACCACATGAAAGCGACAGGTTAACGAAGGAGAGTGATGGAAGAATCCCAGTCAAACCGTCAATGCTATCATTTAGAAAAAAATGCTTTCTTTTCTGGGGTCATGCTAACAATAAGCTCGACTATCCAGATCATCTAAATTAATTTTTTTTTTTATCAGACCATATACTACTACCACTTTTCACTCTAGTTCATTCTTTCATTGGCCCAATGAAGTTTCTTTAGTTAATGCTGATATTTAGCTTTGGACACACTTAGTTTCTTGTGAACAAAGTGAGGTCTTGATTTTAAAATTCTGCCAATTGAAAATTTTGAGATCAGATGCCTATATCTGTTGGATTGTGTTGTTACTTGAAATCTGTTTTATCATCAATCCCCTCGGTTGTGTAGTAATTTTAGATGAACTTCCAGAGGATTTTTTTTTAATCCAAATATTTCTCCCAACTTCAGATAACTTAATACTAATTTATGTGAATGATTTGGCTGCTTTCCAATTTTTACTTTCCCAGTTCTGTTATATATAAGAGGAAAAATATGGCGATCGGTCAAAAAATGACCCCCAGATTTGTACATTTTTGGAGTTGGGATCTTGAAACATTCAGAAATGCAAAAAAATCAGGGGTTTTTTCTGTATGTATAGATTTTAGTGTGAGGGACAATTTTGTTCACTCTTTTTGAAGCTTAATTCCTGTACCTTTTGTTGAAAATTTCTGAAATTTTGCAGGGAGGTTCGTGTATGAGGGGAATTGATGTTTTTAAGTTTTGTTGATTAAAGGTAGGGGTGGAAAGATAAAGGTGGGTTATGTCATATCTCAAGAGGAATTGGATTAAGAAATCTGTTAAGAATTGGCAGTTTCCCTATTGTCCAGCTTTACATGAACAAGTTATGCTGTCAAAACATTTTCTTAAAGTTTAAAATGCCAGTAATTTTGTGTGGGATACAGGGTTGGATTAAACATTTTGAAGCCCTAAGCTGAAGTCTGTAAGGCCCCTTACCAACCCTTAACAATTTTAGAAGTCAATCATAAAAAGAAAAGAATTAAATCAGACTATAACTCTGATTTAATATGGATATTGGAAGAAAAAGACGCAAGGTTTCACTAGTCTTCTGTTTTATAACTGAATTTAATTAAATTTCTATACCCATTCCATTAAAAATCTTTTTTTAAATTGGTTTTATCAATTTTTTTTAAAAAAGATTTTGTTAATTCTTAGAAAAAAAATTAATGAAATACTACATAAAATAAAGTATATTTTGTTGATTTGGTTTTTGTAAAAAAAATGTTTATTACAAAATTTGACTTCAATTTTCTTTTTTGTACAAATGTTTGAGGCCCCTTGGAAGTCGAGGCCCTAAGCAACAACTTACATTGCTTTTTTTCTTGTAAATCCGGCCCTGATGAGACAATGTCAAAATGATGTTTTTTTTAACACAAAGGGAACAAATATGTATAGAACAATCTCACTCATTTGTTTCAATACCACATAATTGATCTCCTCCTATAAAATTTCTCCATAAACAACTACAGGCAGCATATATCATTATATCAGACAGTAATATATGATTAATTTTACATTACTAGTTACAAGCAACCCAGATAAAGTAGCCTTTTTGTAAAAATGCAGCACCCTTTATAGTTCATGAAAGATGCAAATTACAAATTATTGCAAAACCTCATTGAGAATGAGTTTCTGCAAAAGAGGAGGACCAAAACTTTTGGGATCACAAGTTATGAAGCTAAAAACTTAAATATGGACAAGTTCCTTCATCTTATTTGAAATATTGTAGGCTCATCTATTGTTTTACATCACCAATAAAAGCATCAATTTTTTGTAATTAAATTTCCCAATCCTCATTTTGAAGTTCACAATGGGCTTTGTTTTAGGATCCTATAATCTAAGAGTAGTCCCAGAGGCTGAGTTATGCTTTATATATATCCATTAGAACCCAGTGTTCATGCCTAATATTTTATAGCCAACATCAATCTGGAGAACAGCCCAATTCCATGATTGTCTATTTCATTCCTTCTTTACCAATGTAAGACATTATATTTGCTTATGTGATTATTTTGAAGATGCTGCAGTTACAGTACTTTCATTACCACCCAGTCCTATTTAGTTACAATTGAAAATGTTACTTTATAATAATCAACTAAAACCAATAAAAATACCTGTACTTGCACTGATAGAGGCACTTAATGTATACAACACATCTTACAGAGGCCTTGACTTAACCTGTACTTATTGAACAACTTACTTTTTGAGATCTTTTCCTTGTTGATAAATCTTATTTATTGGTGTTTTGGCATTCACAGGAATTTGACTCGCTGGCAGGAACAGAGTTGTCATTCAAAATATTTATTTGCACATCATCTTCCTTGACATCAAATTGGTTTTCTTCAATAATATGAAGACATTTCGAAATACCGTTTGCAGATAACAGCTTTTCAGAAAGCACAGTCATTTGAACGAAAAAAGAATTTGTTTCGCATTGAACTACTATTTGGTATGAACATTTTGTAAATATTTAGCACTTCCATACCTCAACATATATTACCACAGCTAATATGGTTCCTTTCAGATAATTAATTAGCTTTCAAAAAAAATTTTTTTCTAAGTATAAACATTCTAAATGAAAAGAAACAGTAGGGTCAAAAATGACCGATAATGGTGATTCTAAATATACGAGCATGTACTGTACTTCAAAACATAATGCTTATTCAGACTTGACTTTTCTTATCTAAAAAGCAACCAAATTTTGTGAGAATATTACTTTAGTATTTTATTTAAACATAGTAATTTATTCTCACTATGGCCCCCTAGTTTTCTCTGGCTCCCTGAAACTTAATATTTGGCCAGTGGCCCCTGGTTG